GGTGCAGTAGGAGGCACGTGCAGCAGGTGCCCTAGGTGTAGGAGATGCGCTCTCTGAGGCGTTGTTGGCAAGTGTTGGCTGTTTTCTTTGTTGCCTTTGTGCTGAAAGAAGAAGGGATCAGCAGCACGACGACGAAAAAATATATGAAATTGGAAAACAAAAAAAAGAAGCAGCCAGCTCAGCCTCCATCCTTCAGCTGGTGCGGCAAGCGCAACATGTGATCCAGGTGCTGTAGAAGGCAGGTGCCGCAGGTGTAGTACGGAGCAGTATGTATGTATGTATGTATGTATGTATGTATGTATGTATGTATGTATGTATGTATGTATGTATGTATGTATGTATGTATGTATGTATGTATGTATGTGTAACGCAGATTCATTGTCACCTGCCAGCATCATCATCCTCACTCGACACTTGGGTTTGAATCCAATGGAAGACATTGATGATTGTTGACGTGTGATTTGTTTGTTTCTGCATCTCAATTTGGGCACTCGACTGCAACAGTGATTTGTAATTGCAATTTGTGCAATCAGTCCTTGTTTGATTTTGACACCCTGAGGAATACTGGGAGACTTGTCCTGCAGAATGGCGCGTGAAGTCGAAGGCAGTGGCACCTGGGCTTAGCTTAGCTGCCATGTTTGCCTCAACTTCGCCCATGTTAGCCCCCAACCCAAAACGGTCCAAAACTGCTGCAAATTTCATGTACACTTGACCCATGCACACTCTCCATTTGCAGTGGATACCACCCATCAAGACCCAGTGCCTGAACCCACCCCAGATGTGAAAGCTCCATCCGTTGTTCGGCGAGAAGAGCATCATTTGCAACGATGAGCAGTGATATAATGGCAGAAAGGTCCGAAAGAGCTTGCTTTCACACAGGAGGCAACAGAAAGCAGGTGCGGGAACATGGGTGTCATGACGTTTGAACGTCATGTTGTAGAACTAGCTTTGCAGTGTTTATGCCACATGTGATTGTTTGTTTCTCGCTATCGGCTTGATTTGTTTTTTTTCCCCACCTGCCAGGTGAGGGTTGTTAGATTTTATCAGAGCAGTTCTCCTCCTCCTCCGCCTCCGCATCCTCCTCCTCCATCTCCTCCGCCTCCTCCTCCTCGCAGTCAAGATCCCAGTGGGCACAGCCGGACCTCCACCGCGAGCTCCAGATCCCACCGGACCTCCACCGCGAGCTCCAGATCCCAGTGGGCACTGCCGGACCTCAACCCGCGACTTCCAGGTCGCAGTGGGCACTGCCGGACCTCAACCGCGACTTCCAGATCGCAGTGGGCACTGCCGGACCTCAACCGCGACTTCCAGATCGCAGTGGGCACTGCCGGACATCAACCGCGAGCTCCAGATCCCAGTGGGCACTGCCGGACCTCAATGGCCAGATAGAATGCCAGAAGATATGCCAGATAGAATGCCAGAAGATATGTCAGATAGAATGCCAGAAGATATGTCAGATAGAATGCCAGAAGATTTGCCAGAAGATATGCCAGAACACATGCCAGAAGATATGCCAGAAGATATGCCAGATAGAATGCCAGATAGAATGCCAGAAGATATGTCAGATAGAATGCCAGAAGATATGTCAGATAGAATGCCAGAAGATTTGCCAGAAGATATGCCAGAACACATGCCAGAAGATATGCCAGAAGATATGCCAGATAGAATGCCAGATAGAATGCCAGAAGATATGTCAGAATAAATGCCAGAAGATATGCCAGATAGAATGCCAGATAGAATGCCAGATAGAATGCCAGAAGATATGTCAGATAGAATGCCAGAAGATATGCCAGATAGAATGCCAGAAGATATGTCAGAGAATATGCCAGAAGGTATGCCAGATAGAATGCCAGATAGAATGCCAGAAGATATGTCAGATAGAATGCCAGAAGATATGCCAGATAGAATGCCAGAAGATATGTCAGATAGAATGCCAGATGCCAGATCATATGCCAGAAGATATGCCAGATAGAATGCCAAATAGAATGTCAGAAGATATGTCAGATAGAAAGCCACAAGATTTACCAGTAAGAAAATGTATAAATGTCATGGTGGGGATCACACGAAGTGAAGTATTTTTTTTTTCCGGGGGCATTTTGCTTAAGAGAACTGGCTTCACATTGAGGGCATCTTTCATAAAGGCATCCATTTGGGTGCATTTTGCTTTAAAAGAACTGGTTACACATTGAGAGCATCTTCGATGAAGGCATCCATTTGGGGGGCACGGCATGTTGCTTTAAAAGAACTGGCTTCACATTGAGAACATCTTTCATAAAGGCATCCATTTGGGGAACATTTTGCTTTAAAAGAACTGGCTTCACATTGAAAGCATCTTTCATGAAGGCATCCATTTGGGTGGCCCTTTGCCTTAAAAGAACTGGCTTCACATTGAGAACATCTTTCATAGAGGCATCCATTTTGGGGGCATTGTGTCAAACAAAAAAGGTTCAATGTTGACAGCATCTTTGACATGAAAGGCATTGGCTTTGGGGGAAATCAGGTTTCAACAAAAAATAGGCTTCAACGCTGAGAATTATAAAGTCTTTGTTGAAAGGCATCCATTTCTTTCAGCGGCATTCCGTTTCAAGAAACTGGTGTGCATGTTGAAAACACGCCTGTCACTGCATCCATTTCGGGGCGATAGTCCACAAAAAAGTTGTTTTTCCATGGTTCATAAAGGGATATATTGGGGGCATCCGTTTGGGGGTATGTTTCAGCCTCGACAGCCTTCAATGTTAAGACCATGTGTGCCATACAAGGCATCCAGCATTATTTTGGGGCCGCTGGTTTTCCGCACAACAAGTGTTTGAATGTTGGGGATTTCTTCACAAAAGGCATCCATTTTGGGGGCCATTAGATCAGATATTCACACAAAAGGCCACCCTACTGCGATTACATGCAAGATCGATCATCACTAATTTGGATCTGCACTTCGCATGCGAGGCAACTAGAACTAGACTTTTTTTCAAAATGACATCCATCACACCCTGCTCGATGGAAGAGAAATCATCCTCATGATCCAAGTCAACTGCAAGTCCTTCCGAATGGTGGCCACATTGGTGCCAAAGCCAGACCAAGACTCAGAAATTTGTTTGGCCCTTGACTCATGTTTCAAGATTGAGAAGTGCTTGGCATGTGTGTCACGCCTATCTTCCAGGGCCATCCCACTGCATGCTCCTGCCAAAGGCACGGTGCCCCTTTTGCGCCGCACATCAGACGCCCCGCGGCACTGCCGGGCGGCCAGTGGATGAAATGGATTCTCATGCACCAAACTTATGCACGTATGGACTAGTTGACTAGTTGCAAATCCTGACCAAATATTCATGACCGGTTGAAGCATAGCTGCTTGCGAGCATGTTGGGTGCAATTTGGGCTCCACAAGGATTTCCTGACCAGTCCAAAGTGTTTGGGGGCCTTGGCAAGCAAATGCAAGAAAGAAATAGAAACAAGTGTTTTTTATTTGAGCTTCGGCCAAGTTCACAAAGGAATACCTCGCCATCTTGGCAGAGGCTCCCCGGAATCTATCTCTTGATGCCCCAAGTTTGGATTGCTCAGAATTCGCTTTGCGCGTAACTAGCCTCTTCCAAATTGAGAAGGAAACAAACTAGGTTTGAAGTCGGTGGAGAAACCCCCCTTTCACCCCTTTCACCCGCTTTCATTCCAATGGTGGACTATGACAGTTGACTGGTGTCTACTTTCGAGGTCACACGGACATGGCCAAAAAACAGTTGAGATGAAGATGTTCCGAAATTCATTGGAAACTAATTTCCGGGCCCATTCTGTTTGACACATGGATAGAGTAAGTGATTGGCCAAAATAACGACCAGGCACTCACTACCTCACTGGCTTGGCGAGATCAGTTGCTGGCAAAAGCTTGAACACCAAAGTCGAACGGTTGACGCATGACCAGAAGCAGGCCAAGTTGCAATAAAGAAACGATAAATCTGGGTAACGCTATCCTGATTGGAAGCCCTGACCTTCAAGTGCTCTGTGCTGGGGTCAGATCGACATACGCACTGTTTTCACACTTGGCACTTGGCAATTCAAAGCACTGATTGTGGGTTCTAACCCTCTATGGATCTCGGTGAAACGGGAGATATTGATACATATTGATACAAATATATGATGATGGCTGGCGGCTCCATGTGCGGGGTCACGGGCTGAAAGGTGCCGATCTGCCTGCAAGTCTTCTAAATCAGATCCAAAACGAATCAAACACAAATCCCACAGGCAAACCAATTCAGTTTGTTGGACCGCTGTTATCAGCATTGTGGGGGGTCTTGGTACGTCAAGCCATTCCTAAACCCAAACTGAACAAGTCTGGCAGAAACTCAAACGTAGAATTTTCATGAATTTTCTATCGGTCCAACTTCTGCTGAACAAAAACTAACTGGCAGAACTTTGAGAAATTCAAACGGCCCACCACATGTCACATGCTGCCTCAGAAACAAAATCCTTGGCAATAGGACAAGGCCAGCTTCCTATCAAAAGAATCTACAGAATCTAAAATTTCTAAAAGGCTTTGGTGGGTTTCTCAACTGGTCCTTTTTAAAGAAAGCAACGCAATGAGACATGTGACCCGTGAGTGTCTTCACAGCAAATTTCGGGTTTTCCCATCGCCTTCAAACGACTGGACCGTGCACTCGCTGGAAATCCTCCAGGTCGTTGCGGCTCGCTCGGACCTCTTCGGAATCCGGCCCGTGCAGCTCCTGCAGAGGCTCGGGGTGGGGAACGACTGCGTTGGCCAACGGGCTCAATCAAAATCTTTCATGGTCACCCCACGTTGATTGCTGACAGCCTGAAATTGTAACACCGAACATGGCACACAAAAACAAAAAGACAGGAAACGTATCAAATCGAAGCATGTTCTTTTTCTTTGAGAGATAAATCTTCTTGAAATAAATATTGTTAATGGAAGATGTCATATCCGGACTCCAAAATCCACAAGCAGCAACTACCAGCTGGACTAGTGATGTCTGCACCAAAGGCCACCAAGTGGCTATCGATGGCTATCGACTGTTCCCCTGTGACCCTTGCAGGGGCCTCCATGCCACGCCTGGACATGATGCGGTGCACGTGGTGTGTGGCCACCCGGGACCCGGGTTGATGACTTTGCAACACACCCCTGTGAATTCCAGCAGGTAGTTGGGGCCCGAACTTTATAGCTATAAATTGCGAAATGGTCCCCAGACCATCACTATAAAGTTCAAAGTGGGTAGCACCCACATGGCATTGAGCTTCTGTAAAGTTCAAGGTGGTACAAAACCAAAAACCTACCCAATCAAGGGTTGACGCAAAAAAAAACGTCTATAAAGTTCAAGCTCCAACGTGCCTTGGAAAAAGGCTCTGAATTTTCACCCTCATTGTCCAACCCATGTTGAACTTTGTAGAGAAACCCTGAACTTTATAGAGACGGCCTCTGTTCAAACCAATCCCAATCAATGATAGCCAGGACTCAAAGAAACTCAGCGCGCATTTTCCTCCCAACTGCGCATCCTCCCACATCCGATAGTTGGGCCCGAGAAAGACCCAATATGGCTCACCTGGCCCAATAAAGGCCCGACATCAGCCCAACATGGCCCAATGAAGGCCCGACATGAGCCCAACATGCGCCCAACAGAGGCCCTTCCAAGCCCAACTTCTTCGCGCTAAAAATTGCACAATTTTTAGAGCGAAGAAAAGGATCCCAAAAATTGCCCTCACCGCTTCCAAACGACCCAAGTTAGACCCAATATGGCCCAATCGAGGCCCAACATCAGCCCAACATGGCCCAATGAAGGCCCGACATGAGCCCAACATGCGCCCAACAGAGGCCCTTCCAAGCCCAACTTCTTCGCGCTAAAAATTGCACAACATGACATCATGCAAGCCTACAAACTTGAAGTGGTTTCCTACAATATCAGCCGTCCCCACTACAAAATGCGTTTTCAGCAGGTTGCTTTTTCATGAGAAAAAGCAGGGAAACCAAAAAAACTGTCTATATAAAGTTCAACCACGCCATGGTATACAAAAAAATATCCTCAAATATTGCCCCTTTCTTGGCTACCAGATTTGAACTTTGTGGAGAAAACTTCCTCTATAAAATGTTATAAAATGCTGTGGTTTCTGGGTGTCGACACCCGAACTTTGTAGAGGAAATAGGCAAGGGGATTTTGCAACCGCATCCCTTGGAACTTGCAATATCTCAATACCGGTTGGGCATCCCCAACGAGAATGTCACAAAACCTCGTCTCTATCTAGAAAACATCTATAGAAAGAAAACATTGGAAAACATCATCTTTTGAATCTTGACAACACTCTTGCCAAGACCAGTGAGGTCTGTTCCTTTCAGGAGGGCGTCGCTGTTAGGCCACTTATTCAACTTCCACCAACTTCCCACATCTACATCCCCCGATCCAAGCCGACCGAAGCCTGCCTCTGCAACGGAGCCTTTCACCTCCAGAAGCTTCGCCAGATTCCAGACGGATTGAAGGGTCTGCGGATGCACGGCGCCCAGCTGATCTTCGGATCCTGTCAGGGCCCTGCGATAGAGCTCCTCCGCCTGCAGGGTGGGTTGTGGATGGATGACAGCAGGGTGGCTTCCTATGCCGTGGCGAGATGAGCCTTGTGCTGTGATCCGCAACTGGTGAAAGGCAATGTGTTGCTGGTGCATGAGAATCAACTTTAGAGGATCGCCAAAATCATTCATAAAACTATCATAGGTTCAGTCCGAGGTGAAAGTGGGAAGCAAGAAAACTCACCCGTACCAGTCTTTCCGCAACTTCTGTGTAAAGCCATCGAGCACTCTTTGAATTCAGAACGAGGTGCCACGAAAAACTACGATACTTGCCGCACTTGCCTCCACTTAAGATAGTCAAACAGTCAAGGCCTTCTGACTTGCTTGGCCCGTGTCTTTGGTGGTTAACCCAATAATTTCACAATAAATTCACCAACAGCAATGCTGTCCAACGCTCAATTTCAAACGGTTCCCCCTGGCGAGAAATGCTTCCCCATCAAACTCAAATCAAAATCTGTCCGTACATCAGCCTAGGCATCAATTCACATTCCCAAATTGCTATGGTGAAACTGGGAAAAGAAGACTCACCCGTCTCGTCCTGGCCACATGAGAAATGCCTTCCTCTCGACAGTGCCAGGAAGGCCACCTCTCTGCACCCCAAAGACCTCGGCCCGGCCTCCTCCAACTTGCCCTGCTTCTCGAAGACAACGGCCAAGTTGTTAGCCGAGTTGAGCGTGTTGGGGTGTTGGGCTCCCAGTTGGGACTCGCCGCCTTCCAAGGCTCGGCGGTGCAGCCCTTCCGCCTCGCGGCTCGAGGTGGAGCACTGAGGTGATGAAACATGGGGAACCCCAGCTCAGCTCAGGCCCCATGTGTCATGGAAAGGGAAGAAAAGCCAACAAAGGCCACCAGTTTTGGACTATAGTGAGAACATACTATTCCAAGCGCTCGTCAAGCACTCTTTGGATTCACGGGATGCCAAGAAGCATCAATTTACTCAATTTACTCACAGTGTTTGCTCACATTGCTGGCCCGCTCTCACGAAACAACCCTGGGGCGACCACGGAGGGGGCTACGGCTCGGATGATCGGTCATCATCTCAAACATTGTCAAACGCCCTCGAAAATAATCAACGGATTAAACCTGCTAAGGGCCTCGAAAAGCCCTGCCGAGCATGTAGGCAGGCTAGATATGGCTAGATTGCATATAACAAGAAATACTCCCTTCACAGGTTCAGCTGAACTGGTGATACTGTCACAATCAAACAGGTGCCTATGCGGCCAACTAAGATCATACATCTCACAGGAATTTGCAAACTTCAAAAGCCAATAGGGACGTTGAGCCTGTACCTGTTGGCAACCTTTTGGCAAGCTGCGTTTTGTTCAGCGTTTTGAAGACTCTTCGCAAACCACTTTAACGTGCCAATTCACGTTCATAGCTTCAGACTTTCACAGATTCCTCACACAAACAACTGACACACGATCATTCCCATCTAGCTGATTTTGATCCTGCTGGGGGTACGTCACACTCCTGGGGCAATCATTGCCCGCTTTCGTCATCGTTCTCAAATCAATAAGCTGTATGTGGCCTCAGTCGCCCATTTGGAAATATGCTGCATGCGTTGTATTGTGATCCGGAAACTCTTGCACATAGAATCAAGAGTCCGGGTTTAATCAATTAAAGAGGTGTTGGTATCATGAAGAAGGGTCTTACAAACAGCCTTGGCTGACTGATTTTGGAAACACAAAAATCTAGGGCGTGTGTTGAACTGCGCCAAATTAGTACAGTATTGACATCACTCATCATCACTATGCTGTTGTGTTTCCCAGTGTGATGTCACAAGCCGTACAGTTCTCTTTTGCCTAACAAACCCCAAAGATTCTTCAGAGTCTGTCAGTGATGCAACTCTTTGAAAGGAGTTTGTACTTTTCTTAGTTTTCCGCTGAGATTTCATAGCTTTAGATTGCGGGAAAATGCAAGCGGCTGATGGGTTCCCAAGTTTGACTCTCGGGAATTGGAGGACAGATCCTTGGCACCAACCCTAATGCACATTGCATGTATGGATTTCATGCCCGGGCAATTCAACTACTGAATTTGGGCGAAACTTAGGAGATGCACAAATTGGAGACATGGAAGTGTCCACTCTTCCACTCTTGTTTACTTCAAAAGAAACGCCTTCCCTTGGAACTTCCACGGGGAAGGTCACCTTTCTGCCCCCGACCTCGGTCTGGCCTCTTCCAATTTGCCTTGCGACTCGAGGATCACAGCGAGAACGTCCAGCATGATTGGCGTGTTGGGATGGCTCGCTCCCAGCTGCGCTTCAAGCCCTGCGAGCGCTTTGCGTTGCAGTTCTTCAGCCTGGCGGCTCAAGGTGGCGCCGCTGCGGCACTACAAACTAGCAACGTAAGTGTCAGGCAATTTGTGTAGTCACTGCGGTATGCAAACTACCATATACAGTAATATATATATATATATATAGGTGATTATACATGTATATCTCCATATACTGTATCAATATCACTCGCACAGCTTTCGTGGGCTGCCGGCTGCAACCAGGAAACGAGTGGGAACAGTATGGGGGTCCTGCAGATGTCATACTTTCATTTAGCATGCGCCTATATAGATATATTTATACTATAGCCATCTATAGGCCTCATTTGCAAGAATTCACCGGAAAGATTTGACAGTTTTGCCATGTGTTCATTTTGCCGATTACAACTATGAAATGTGGATAGAGGTCCCAACGATGTATTACGCCCAAAAAAGGTAATCCAGCAATATTGGGACATTGACAAGAGAAAATCCAGGCCTCAGGCCTTGGCCAAACAAAAATATGCCCTTGGTGAAACGTCTGGTAAGGTCACCTCTCTCCATCCAAAGACCTCCGCCCGGCCTCAGCCAGCTTCCCCTGCTGCCGCAGGAGCACCGCCAGGTTGTTCATGGAGGTGAGCGTGTCCGGGTGATTCGTGCCGAGGTGCGCTTCGCGCCCTGCAAGAGCTCGGCGGTGCAGGGCCTCCGCCTGGCAACTTGGGATGATGGCGTCGGTGGCGTGTGCCCCAGGCCTGGATCTGCCTGCGAGTACCATGTGGAAAGGGATACCATGGAAATGCACACATAATTCAAAACTTGAAGAATCAAATGCAAAGTTCGACGAGTTGACATTTCAACATAATTTGATATAATTTGGATGTGCGTCATCGTCGTTCCAATCTTCCGTTTGCAAATAAACTCCAACCTCAGGGTGCATCTGTTCTGTGATTTTTTTGCAAAAACGCTTTGACAGCCTCAGACATCTCAGACTGAAACTTGCAACGTGGCATCTGTTCTTTGCAAACATCTTTTGCTAAACTTTGACGTGTCCATGTTTTGGCACGTCCATACATGACGTGATTTGAGATGATTTGAGATGATTTGCGTAAAATTGACATGTTCATGCATTATCGCACTTCTATAATATAGATGACAAATTTTGAGATGATCTGAAAATGTGGTTGTTGTTTCCCTGCTGTTTTTCCCAACACAAAATGCAGCACCATCCACCCGCCACGGTGACTGCAGCACAGCACATCAGCGGCGCCTCGCTGAACTTCCCCAGGTTTTTCAGAACGAGCCCCAAGTTGTTCACCGCGATGAGCGTCTCGCGGTGCTCGGGGCCCCGGCGCCGCTCCTGGGCCTCCAGTTCTCGGCGCTGCAGCGGCTCCGCCTCCGCGAAGGCGCCGCGGGCCACCAGCACCCGGGCGAGCCTCAGCCGTGGAGCGCCACGGGAGCCGAAAAGTTCCCACGGCTCCGTGGAGGAGAGAGGGCACTTCTTTTGCTATTTGTGGTGTCGTGGCATATTTTTGGATCCAAGTCCCTGGTGAGAAAACAAGATTCTGGGATTCGAACTGTTTTGATTTCACTTGAGCAGTTGCTGTAGGCTATACTTTTTGATGCTGTTTGATGCTATTTGATGCTTGTTGTAAATACTGTTGCCTTCTGCAATCTACAGCTTTCACTTTGCGGTTGTGTGGCATTTCTGGATGCAAAACTGCGGTGACAAAACAATACAGTTCTTGACTCAACAGTACATGTTTGCTAATGTGCTGGTCTCTTTGGAGGGACTGAGGTCCGCACCGGCTCAGTGCCAAAAGCGCTTTGTCGTGCTCAGGGCCCAATCTTTCGGCTGTGGCATCTGCACGGCACCGCAGCCTTGGTCCATGATGATGTCTATCACATGGCTGTGCCTATCACATGGCAATGCGGTGGTCGACCATGTCACCAACATGGAAGACAAATCAATTTCAAGAGAATGGCCAGGTTCGCAAAATCGTCAAGGTGTGGGAAAACTTCCAGCTTCAGTCAGAAGCTGCCTACTGGGCTGCAATCGATGGCCCCTGCTTCAAATGCGGGATCTTCAACCAGATGTTTTTACGCGTGAGGGCGGGGGGGCAAGTTTTTTTTAAAAAAAATTGGCAGACGTGTGTCCTAAATGCAGCAGGTAGATTCAAGTCAACTCATCATAGCATAGTCAATAGACATATATAGCATAGCCGAATATAGCCGATAGATACTATAGAATACTATAGAAGTCGAAGTGGACCGTACTCAAGAAATCTCAGAAGGAAGTGTCGTGCGTGCACTCCTGAGAGAGTTTCAAAGTTCCACGCCTTCTCCACATCTTAAAGTGAATGTTCAGGTGGCAAGATCCACGATCAAGCGATTCTGCTCGATGCCTTTACTCCCAGATACTTTCAAGTGCAGGACAAGGCCCGAGCCAGGACAAAACGATGCTCTTATGTTGTGGTGTATTCCTAGATCAGGCGTGCAAAATATTGGATTGACAAGCATGCAGGCTCTCCAAACAGAGCTTGAGCTTCGTGCTTTCTGTTTGGTATCCTGTATCCTGCCACGACCATTATACTTTGACCCAAAAGGAAAGGTTCCATAAACTTGCCAGGGAGCGACATGACCAGAGATCCCGGAAGAAGGAATTCGGAAAGGCAAGATGAGAGCAAGAGAGCAGCTGAAACAGTCCGCAGGGCTGCATCAAAAACACTTGAAACTTTTGAAATCATGTTGGTTCTGGTCCAAATCGACCAAAGGGACCAGTGTGCATCTTGAACTTGAGAATTCATGAAAAGCCAAAAACTTGTCAGCGCTCTGGATCATTTTTCCAATAGAAGTCTTGAACTCGCCCCACCTTATTTAACCCTACTGGACGAATGCTAACCCCTGGATATGGCAAGCTCAAAGGGCCAAAACCCTGGATTGAACAGCCAAAACCCTGGATATGGCAAGCTGACTCAAGACCCAAGCTCCAAGCCCCTGAAAGCAGCCAAGCTTCGTGTCCAGCAGCACTGCGCTGGCGTGGTCCACTTGCTCCTCGCTTTGCAGGCGAATCACGATGCACTGTCTCTCCGGCTGCCCAGGTTCATTCAGCAGCTTTCCAGCCAGGTTCCTGGGCAACGGACTTGAAAGCAATGTCCAAATCATAGCCCTGTCAATGGCGTTTTCATACGAAGCACGTAGTAGCTGGGTCCCTGACACACCGGGAGGCTTGCCCTGGCCGCGCAGAGTAAAGATGAGTTACAAGCCAAGTGCTGCAGAAAATGTTGGGACAAAACCCGACACAAATCCGCATTGGTTCAGCTCCGGGCAAAGCAAACAAATGCTGCCTCCGTCTGCATCTCTGGCGTCTGCTGAATCGAGACATCAAAGCACTTGGCAGCGTTGACCAGAATTGGGATGCAGTAGGCTACACGCGCCGTGTACTCCTGCATGACTGGATCTAATTTTGTTCGTCTGTCCAAACAATAGCAATACTGAAATATGCGATTTGCACCACAATGATGTGAAAACCTAAGAAAGGCACACTCTCCTTGTCTGCTGTCTCACGGCCTTTCGATGCAACGTCACGCCTGTGCATATTCCTAAAGTTGTTATCGACCAGCGTTGCCACGTCTGGCCATTCGTGGGGCGCCCTTCTCACACTGCAAACGCCTCGTCAGAGTTGCTATCAGTGGACAAACAGGTTCAAATTCAAAGAATAGTCTCTCAATCACAGACAAACACCACACGCAAGCAGCGTCCTGTGCATCTCCATAGACGCTCAAGCAACTGCTCGCGTGTTTTCAATTGTGAAAGTTGCTGCAAAATAGTAGCTGCGCAGAAGCTACTAAACTTGCCTTGTCCCCACCAGGCATTGGCCGTCGGACCTTCAGTCACAAGGGAAGCCTTGGGATCGTCAAGAAGTTTGTGGCTGTCTGAGGGTGAGCAAGCCGCAAAAATCACATATCATATAACAACATTGACATGTTGAATGGTGACTGAGTGCAGCACGAAGACTTCAACGGCTTTCTTGCTTGGAGCCGTGATGTTCCGAAACCTTACTTGAGTCGTATAATGGAAGTAGCAGTGCACTTCGCCACTTTCACCAGACTGGGTGAGGTCCAGGGCATCCTGCCAGACCTGCCAGGAGCGGTTGCTGGGGAGTTGGAGCGAGTCTGCTGCGTCACAGCGTGGCATGACGAAATGCGTCAAATCGCGCCGGCCGCGCCTTGATGCCGGACCTCTTGTGGATCCAGCACCATTCCCGGGGGTCGTGTTCATAGGCGTCGTGCTTAAAGACACCGCCGCCCTTGTAGTCGTTCCTGAAGTAGGCCCTGAGACTGGCCTGAGGCATCGAGCAAAAACGCATGTTCATGACTTGTCCATGCAGTTTCCTGGATTCCACAAGCACTTAACTGCTTCGACTGGAAAAGATATTGATATTACTGGCTCTTCCTGGTCATGGTATTGAAGTAGACCCTCCTTTGAACCAGCGCAAGTGGATGGAAAAGATCCTTCTGGGCATGGCGTTGGACCTATCAAAAGCTTACCGCCATCCTACACTGGAAGGCACACAATGCAACGACGAGTTTGATGAAGAACTGGCATTTTTGTTCAACGGCTTAGTTTAATTAGTTTCTTGGTCTATTCAACATACCTTGCAACGTTCTGCTCAAACTATCCACTGCTAGTGTTTGCTTGCAGCATCTTTCAGAAACTGGAAGGTTACAAGCAGGAAGCGCAAGAACTTGGCATTCTTATCTGAAACCCTGTAATTATTTGAAAAGCGGGCAAGCGTTCATCACATACAAGATTGAAGTCGGAGGTTTCAACTGCAAAAAAAGACAAGTGAAGACTGATCCTTCAAATCCGATTTTGTTCAATGCGTCTCAGGCACGCCAGACCCAACAGAGTTGCCCATCGTGAACAGCGACCTCAAAACGATCGAAAAGAGATTGGAGGATATTGGAGGCATATCAGAGCAGCTACCCAGCTATGTCAGTGTTTTGCGACGTCAACCCTTTGTTGAGCAGACTGCACCACGAAAGAATTAGTTTCAGGCTCCGGCTGAGGTCAGCAGCAAAAACGCTCAAAAGGAGGCTCTGCTTGGCGGGTTCAGTCCTTAGCAGCCACTCATCAGCACAAGTGTGGCTTCATCCATTCTTTCATCATCTATTGTCTATTGATTCTCTTCAAAATGATTGCCTTTCTGACTCGAAAATTTGGTCGGATTTCAAAGATAAATAATACATTTGGCTTTTTAATGCCCCAGCCATCCCCAGCCAATACGCAAAGCGTAAATGATTAATTACTGCGCGTCTGTTCCCATTCAAGCATGCGTGATCAAATGTGAAATGCGTGCACCTCCTACATTCCAAAGTGATCAACGACAGGGCTGTGATTTCCACCCGAATCTTTCAATCGATCTTTGCAATGCAGCCATTTGTAGAACCACCTGCTCTGTAGAACTGGTTCCACGTTGACTGGGCATCCCGGCTGACGCAGGGACTGGAAGGCCGGTGCAATGGCAAAACGCGCGCTTGGCAGTGCAAGTTGATTGAATTCTGAATCCAAAAATGTTGAGGCTGTCAAGGGGGATGTATCTCCACCCAACGCAACTGTCTGATTTCCTTCAATCTGCTGGCTAAACGGGCGATGCAGCATTCGACTGAACGGAACAACAAGAAGGATCAAGGATCACAAAATTGTTTATTCAGTTCAACCTGTTGTGTAAAGTAGGCGAAGCTCTGCTGGACCTACATGACATCCAACATGCACCCAACACACAGCTTGCAGAGACTCATTTCATAGTCAAATGGTCCAACATATTCAAAAATGTTTGTGAAATCTGTTGCTTGCTGTGAATCCAACTGGCTTCGTCAGTAGATTGCGTGGATTGTTGCCATTGTAGGACGCAAACTTCTGGCAGGCTGCTCGAAATGCTGCGGCGCATCGTCCGCAAAGTGAAGAACAGTTCTGACTATCCCAGTCTTCTCCCTGAAGGGATGTTCTTCCTTGGCCCTTGGAAACTCCATTATTTTTTTTCCGGTCTGAAGACTTTTTGACGACTCGGGCGCTCAAGCTGAAGAGACGGAAGCGTGGAAGTGGCCATGGGCCTGCCGTCATGCAGCGGGTTTGGCACAGTGGGAGTAACCCTTTACTTACGGTGATCAACCCGCTCCTCATGCTCCGCTATGCTGCGCTATATTGAAGGTGCCTCTTGATGAATCCAGCCATGCCAAGTGTCATGACAGGTGCAGGGAATCTTTGTGACCAATGCAAACAGCTGCACGAATCAATTTACGCTGCAATGGTGGGCCGTGCTACAAAGGAACCCCATGACCCGGCAAACTGCTATCGGGATCTTCAGACCGTGGAAGTGGGGTGCGCTGTCAAGATGATAGCGCCAGAAGGGTCGCGCTGTCAAGATGATAGC